TCCAGCTGGCACCGCATGCCTCATAATGGCATTGCTTCATGCATTGCCAAAAACCAGGATTGCATTCACCCCGCAGATCCAGCTGAATATATAGCTGTCATCTTACAGTTTCCTTTTATAACGACTGGGAACAAAATGCAGCGGTGGAGGGAAATTAAGGGCACACAGATGATTTTGGCCTTAGGTTATGCGTGCGGTGGATGGGGAGCTCGTTGCGTCTCGCTGTGGTTGGTTAGCTATGTGGTGCAGGCTGAAAGTACAGCTGTTTATAGCTCCCCCGAAACACAGGCGAAATGCAGAGCTGCCCCCCTCTTCCAAAAGAAAAACCTGTAAAAAACACACACCCACACTAAAGGTCCGAGGAGCATTTATGTCTGCATGTACGTGCGCACCACACCACAGACAAAACCTGTGATTACACTGGTCCAGACGCACACTCAGTGTAATTACATGCAGTGACGCACGGCTGCCCGCCACGCTGTGAATTCGCACATATTGACTCACAATTTAAGCATGTCGAGGCACCGAGGTGGATTTTATATTGCTCCTAAATGTTGGGATAAATGTAGATGATGCACAACTAAACAAACAGGGGCTCCACAGCTGTACTCTAGAGTCCTGGAGGTTGTTGATTGCGCGTGTGTGTGTGTATGTGTGGACCTGTAAATGGGGCCCCTGGGGTGGGCTCTGGTGCCGCCCTCAGGGGCGGGGTGTGTTTATTTAAGTATCTGTGTGTGTGTTTGTTATTTGGCAGTCATGCTGAATTTAGGGGGCTAGCCTCGAGATAAGGAATGGAGTTTAAGATGAAAGGAAAGTGGGGCGAGGACAGGGAGACACTGGCACGGAGTTTGTGGATTCAGGGGGAGGTGAAGGGAGGCAGAAAGGGGGGAACCGATAGAGGGGGAGAGCCTGAGGAGGAGACTGATGGTGGGGCTTCTTTTTTATAAAGTTGTTTTTTTGACGTTACATAACACCTTTGCTCATGTAGTTAGAGCTCTCATACGTGCGTGTGAGGGTGTGTGTGTGTGTCTGGTAGCTTCTCACTGGGAGATGGGAATTTCTGTGAAAGGCAAAGGTTGCCCATAGCAACGGCCTTCATTGTAAAAGTGATCCTTGGAATATAGCACACACACAGATACGAGAAAGACACATTTGCACCCTGCTCACACTGGTGTGTCTTTTTTTGGTATTTTCAGTACTGTCAGGGTTTGACATCTCCTTCACACACACACACACACACACACACACACACACACACACACACACACACACACACACACACTTCTCAGACCAATCTCCTCACTGTGTCCGGCCTCCAAACAGCTTTAAGTCAATTTTATTTTCAGGAGGTACATATAGCGTTTCAGCTCCACCTCATGCTGTGATGTGATGGACTGAGATACTCGGGTCTCTAGATTCCATTATGCTTTTATTGGCTTTTAAAGGCATCAGGTTTCCTCTGTCTGGAGCCGGGGAGGAGCCTGTGCTCCTCTGTGTGTGCACAATTAGCATCACACTGGCTGGCAAAAAAAAGGGAAAGAAAAACAGCTCTGCAGGCCCTGGGGATGGGCTTAAGATTGCTGAAGAGATAAGTTTGCTTTGGTCAGATTTTCAGCAGAAGACTGACTGTTTTCCAATACCTGGAGCAAAAACTAAACCCTTTTTAGTCATTGGATTATTGCACTACTTACTGTTTGCTACTGAGCTCGGTCTGGGCTCAAAATATACACGACGTATACACGTTGGAGGAAGCGTTAAAAAGCTTTGCGCTCCGTTACTCCAATAAGCGTAGCAACAGTTCTGAAGTATTTAAGAAAACATCCTCTTAAGCACATTTATGATCTTTTTTTATGCCAGCAATGCACTGATTGACTCTACAGTATAACATCAGTATACATCAGCGTTTCTGGTCTGCTCCGTTTTTGCGCTGAGAGCAGATCATCCACTTATCTGAAATTTGGTGGGTTGACCCTCAGCGCATCCAGGTCTTTGGGAAAGATGCCAGACCTCAAAATTGGGCCTGATTTGTGTTTGTGTGCTATAATAATAAACTAGTGTAAAGGTTGTAGTGTAAATATTGCCATTTTTACATTCATTCAACACTTTCTCACTCCCAACTCGTCCAATATTGATCCCCCAGAAAGCTTTTCATCATATTTTAACACAAGGGATAGGCTGCTTCCGTATTTGCCTTATTTCCCGAGATACTTAACTTTCATTTTGGACTTCAGTCTTTGGTCACCGTTTGGTTTATGCACAAAAAAACTGGGGGGGGGGGTGTTAAATACCCTTTTTGACGATATGAAACCCATCCCAGAAGGGAATCTTCAGATGTTGAACTCTTCTCTGCAAGTTGAAAATTATTGTCGAAGAATCACTTGAGAAATGTTTATCACAAGCAAATCACCAAATCATAACAGCAGTCACCTCAAGGGGCTTTATGTTGTAAGTTAAAGATGCTACAATGATGGGGCGAAAACCACAACATTCATATGGCCAACTGTGAGCTAGTACTTGGTGACAGTGGAAAGGAAAAACTCCCTTTTAACAGGAAGAAACCTCTGGCAGAACCAGGCTCTGCTGCCACCAGCTGGGAGCGAGAACAGGATGTCATTTCGTGTTTATGGCCAACAATTTTGCTGTTTTAATTCACTCACATAGCTGCTCTCATCAGTTTCATTTTCACACAGCACTGCAGCTGTTTTCAGCAAAAAACAGAAACAAAACTCAGATGAATCTTAAAAATTAGAGCCCGACTAATATATTGGCGGGCTGATATCATCAGCCGATATTAGCTATTTGCCGATCAGCACATAGCAAATGTTGGGAGGATCTGTTTATGTTTCATGTGTCTGACAGGAAAAAAAATATCAGCCGATATAGTAAAATATTAGATTTTAAAATCAGCTAATATCACTATCGTTTCTTAAATGGTATATTGTTCAGGCTCTGCTAAAAATCCAAAATGCTGTAAAACCGTGGTAGTGACTGATTGGAGCATTTGGCAGTTAAAGATCCAAATAATTCAATTTACAAAGCTGTAAGCGGAGTCTTTATTGGACTTCATCATGGCCAGAAGCACAACTCCTCATGCTAACGGACCTTTACGCCTGCTTGATATGCAAATAAGCAAATGTTTGCCAGCAGTGTGAACACATCGACTTGAGAAGCAGATAAAATCTCGGTTGCATTGGCCTCTTGTTGAGCTGCCCCCAAGTAGCAGAATCTCCGTTACAGAAAATTACATCTTTTAACAAACACACACAATGCAGTACGTTTTTAAATCGTTGGAAGATGGTTTTAAGTAAACGCTTTAAGATATTTAGCATAAAAACAGTTTTTGTCAAAATGAAAGGGACTCTGCTTCGATGTGAACGATCCAACTATTTAATCATTGAAAAAAACAGGTAAAATATTTAGCATGTGAATAAAAGTCAGTATAGAAAGGCGGTCTGTAAATATTTGACTGGACGTTCCTGACTGTGCATAAACACCTCTGTAGGTTGAATTTATCTTTGCACTGCAGCGCGTGCGGCATCTCTTAAGTGCATGCACTCGATAGCAGCATTAGTTGACCCTGTGTGATGGGAAAAATCTCTGAGTGCTAAAGTGTGCGTTTAAACATCGCACGGATGTGGGATTCAGGTCGAGAGAAAGGGATGAAGGAAGAGAGAGAAGAGGAGGAGGGATCAGCCTCAAAGTGAACGGAGGCTGAGGTCGTTCACTTCAGAGATTCAACCCCTGAATGATCCCTCACTAATCTCTCCTACCTGACCCCGGTGGGGGTCGGCGTGCTTGTGCTTCCTCCTCGCGGGCTAATGTGGAGGAGGCTTGGATTAAGCTGGAGTGATGAGAAGGGAGGACGCTGTGAAATGATCCGCAAGACAGTTATGAGCACATTTCAGACAGGGTGTGTTTGTGTAGTGTGTGTGTGTGTGTGGGGGGGGGGGGGGGGGGGGGGGGGGGGGGGGGGGGGGGGGGGGGGGGATATTTTTCACCTCCGAGCCACATAATTATTTTGAGATGGCGATAAGTGATCTGCGGACAGTTGTGATCCTCTCAGGCCATTCATCAAACTAAACGTTGTCTCCCGTTTTACATTTTTGTAGACTGAATAGATTTTTGGGTTTTAGACTGCTGACGTATCTCAATAGTGTCTGATTGATTTCCATTAAAATTTGGTGCAGACATTCACGAGTCTGTAGGAATAAACTTTAGAAACTTTCGTGATTTTTAATCGGTCAGATGCTTCTGCCAGCTCTGTGTCACAGCAGGCAGGAAGCACTGGTGTCATTTTCCTGCTCTGGTTGCTTGAAATGTGCCTGCTGCTGCTGGCCTCCGTTCTGAGTAATTTTCAAACCGTCTTATTTGGACTGCCGCTCAGACAAAACAAGCAATTTAAAGATATCACGTTTGCTTTGTGAGTGTAAAAATGAGTACTTCCTATCATTTTAAATACCGAACACTTCATATTGAAAAATATTACCCTATTAATCCGTAATGGAACGAAGTTCAGAAGTTAATTGCTTTCCTTTGCTTTGCTGCTTTACGGGCCGAGCATCACTTGCAATTGACACATAAGCAGAGACAAAATGGAAACCCCCACCACCACCCGCCCACCCCCTTCTTCTCTCCTTAAAAGCTTTGATGTTCCACTGCCAAAATCCCAGCTTTAGATCAACTCATTAACTATGCTCCTCCATAGAGCCACAGACAGACAGATGTTCCCCTGTCCAACATAATGCAGCTGCACCAGACAACTCTGTGTGTGTGTGTGTGTGTGTGTGTGTGTGTGTGTGTGTGTGTGTGTGTGTGTGTGTGTGTGTGTGTGTGTGTGTGTGTGTAATCTGCAAAAGTGGTTTCTCTTTCAAATGAAATGACAAACTTCTCAGTCATCTGTAATCTCTCTGTCTAACAGGGACAGAAGTGGTCGCTGCCTATCGATGACGAAGGGTCGGCGAGAGATGAATTTTACGACGACGAGGATCTCTACTCGGGCTCTGGCTCTGGCTGTAAGTGTATATATATATATATCTATGTGTGTGTGTGAGGTTACACACTCATGCCCTGGTTCTTTCAGACTCAACAGCTGTCGGGTTTCAATCTGCTGACCCCGAAGACCCCCACAGTCCCTCCTCTATTCACCAGACACACATGCGTGGAGGCCATGCACACACGCACACACACACCCAAAGTCACACCACATAAACATGCCGTGTGGCTCGACTGAGAAGTTCGGGAACAGATTTATTAAGAAAATTCCTCAGACACACCCCTTACAAACAAGCACTAACTGAAGCTCAGTTCCCCGAGATCTTATTTACTCTAATCAGATTACAGTCCATGCAGATTAGACGATCACACGCACACCAGCGTGTCGCGGGCACCTATGTGCGAGCGTGCGGCCCGTGTTCGAGCCGGGCTGTAGGAATTACCTACTTAATGTAAATCACATTGCTGTAATTCAGGTTGATTTTCTGATCTTGCTGTCGAAGCTTGAGCGCGGCGCCCCTTATTAAGCATGACTCATTGAGGGCTGCCCTCAGTTCGGGCGCTGCGCTAGTGGCGAGCACGCTCAAAATAAATTACCATTCAAAGCAGGAGAGTGTAGCAGAGGCACCCCCTGTGGCTGAAACAGCAGCCTGGCAAATTGCTTAAGCTCAAACCGAACTACAGAGCCCAAAGAAAGGGCTCGTTTTTAACAGGCAGATGTTCATTTTGTGTCACAGCTGCTTCAGAGCCATCCAGTTTCTTTCTTTCTTTCTTTTTTTCTTGTTGTGGTGTCTGATGTGTTTAACAGAAGCTGCATTGTTGGAGTCCATATTTCGATATCCTCTCCACCTCCACTACAGCCTTCGTGTTTTTGTGCCTGTAAATTCAATTTGTTTCTCTTTCAACCCAAAGAGCTTCACTGCTATAATAGAATGAAAGGTGGGGTGGAGTAATAGCATTATGAGATTTAAAAAGAAAACGAATCACTCTTCTCTTGTCTTCTCTTCTCTTCTCTTCTCTTCTCTTCTCTTCTCTTCTCTTCTCTTCTCTTCTCTTCTCTTCTCTTCTCTTCTCTTGTCTTGTCTTGTCTTGTCTTCTCTTGTCTTCTCTTCTCTTCTCTTCTCTTCTCTTCTCTTCTCTTCTCTTCTCTTCTCTTGTCTTGTCTTGTCTTCTCTTCTCTTCTCTTCTCCAGGTTTTTAACACAGCTGAACTCGTAATTTGCAGCAGTCGTTCTCGTGTACACATTGTTAAGTTTCTGCTGTCAGACAGCTAAATGAGCAGAAAATGGCGATTTAATTGGGGTGCCAAGTCATCATTACATTCACTATTTTATAAGCGATTTAAAAAAGCAACCAAAAAAAACCAAACAAACCAAACATAGTTAAGCACTCTCTGTGTGTGCTTTTGTGTTGCTGACATTTAAAGGAAAGATGGAGGCGGAGACACTTGTACTCATAAATCCCAGTTTGTTTGTTAGCTGGCTGTGAAAAAAAAGCTGAATGATGCTTTTTGTAGTTCTGCAGAAAATCTTTCCTTAGCGTTTAAAAATTACCGAAGGGATTATTGATGAATAAAGCAGATAGCTGCATGTGTAGTCAAGGACAAATTAATTGCTGCTTAAGAGCTGGGGATGATGTCATGATGGTTGCCCAAGCTTGGGGTTTCTCAAACCTCAAATGGTTGGCCTTGGAGTCTGAAAGGTGGGCAGTTTACCAGGGAAGGTGTATCTTAATAAAACATATTAACGTGCTGCATTATGGAAAGCCTTTGGTTGAGGAGCTTAGTTCCAGCTTCATGTGGAAGCCTTACAAGTTTAGACACGATGTCACCATGTTGACTTGTTCCTGCAACGTCATAATAAATGTTGCTCTAGGATCACGGTTGCTGTTGACTGTAAATTATGGGGATGGTTGTAGGTTGATTAGTGTGTGTGATTCATCCAGGAGACTGGGGCTCATCTCCCATGTGAGTTACCAGTGCAGACTTAGCTGGGTTATTCATTTATTTATTTTCAGTTTTCGCTTGCAGTTTGGTTTAATTTAGGCAAAATGATAGTTTAGGTTAAAGTAAGCCCTTTTTGCTATGTTACCCACCTGCTAGGACGCCTTTAAGAAAACTCTGAAGGCAACTTTTGCCACATTCTCTTATTAAAAGCTATAAAAATACAACAATGTGAATGCTGTCTGTTTTGGTGATGGTCCTTGGTACTGCTGCACATACTGCAAACCTTGGTATCGATCCGATACCAATTAAATACAGGGTGTTGAATGATTTATGAGATGAATTAGCATCAATTTTCAAATTTTGAACAGGTTTTAATGATGAGTAAACCACTGTGATTTGTACTTTCCACAATACTTAGCTAACAAAAGAAAAAAAAAACACTCTTTCAGCTTCTATTTTGAAACAATTTTAAAACTTTTTTGGACATCAGGAGTGTAATTGTGCCCGCCTCTAAAGCATTTCGGTTTATCTTCCGTTCTCTTCCAAGAAAATAGTTTATTAAGCTTAAAGCTCTTTGAGCTACATACTGAACTTAGACGATAGAAACAAAGTATCAATCCAGTCCAGTACTGATGCATATTTGATATCGGTACTATGGATATTTGGATCGATCCCGACACCTCTTGCCTTCGAGCAGCGTTAAACCTGTGCGGCTGCAGCTTCAGATATTACAGATAGTTAAAGACATCCTTCTGCTCGGTGCAACTTCTGTGTTCATAGTGGATCCTGCGGTGATGAGGCATACAGTATTTAAGCATTGATTTTCAGTGATTTTCAGATGTGATGACATGCTTCGCCATTCTTAGGCATGACAGGATTAATGATGCTGCATGAAGAACAGCACAGCCGTATCAGACCTTGTATGCTCCTCTCTTTCTTCCATTACACATCTCTTCTTATTTTCTACTGCAGCCCATCAAGTAAGCCATCAGGGGAACTTTAGGTATTAGGGATATACACCGGGGACACCTGTTAGGGACGATGCAATCTGCTGGCTGAGTAAGACTAATCAGATTAAGTGTCAGAAGTGTCACTAGAGAGTAAACTACTGAGTGTGAAGTGAATGAGCCAGCAATAGTCTCAGTTTCTGATCTACTGTTATCTGTGTGTGTGTGTGGGTGGGCGGGTGGTGGCTTGTGATGGAGTGACTGTGTCAAATTTGACTCTTCTTCTTGTCTTATTTAATTTTTTGTTCTAATTCTCTCCTCTTCAGTTCCTGAGATCGGTATGAGGCCAACATCAGTAGCTGTCACGTTCACCACAGAGGAACCCCTACTTCTCTCCACCACCCAAGCAACCGACCTCGCTCCCTCTGCACCGCCTGCAGCAGAGCCTAGCCCCAACCCAGAGGACCCGACGACCACCCCTCTTCTCACTGAAGCTGAGGGAGAGAGCGGCGTGTTCTTGGATAGGGACCTGGAGAGGGAGAGGGAGCTGGAGCGGGAGCTGGAGCTGGAAAAGGAGAGGGAGAGAGAAAGGGAGAGGGAAAGGGAGCGTGTCCGAGAGATGGAGCGAGAGAAGGAGAGGGAGAGAGAGAGGGAGAGGGAGAGAGAGCGAGAGAGGGAGAGAGAGAGGGAACGTGAGAGAGAGCTGGAGAGAATCCGGGCCGCCGCCAAGACCACTGCCGCGCCCCGGTCCCCTGCTGCCGTTCCTATGTTCACCACCAATCCTGCAGCCAGTCCTGCTGAAAGTGCAGCGCCCTCTGCTGGTTCAGATGACCTGAGCGCCACAGAAGAAGAGGAAGACATCTACCTTTCGCCAGAGCCCAGCTTGCTTTACCCAGGATTCACTGATGTAACCACTACAGAAGAAGACATGTCCATCACACCAGAGTCAACCCCTGAGCCCAGCACAGCTGCAACAACCACTGCTACCACTGTCAAGACCAGGACCCCCTTCAGGCCCAGGGTTCCCATGATGACAACGACTCAGGCGGTGCCAACAGAGAGGACGACCCGCCCACAGCAGCCCACAACAACACAGGTAGGACTCAGCTCATGTCAGGCAGTATTAGGCGAACGAGATGAAAAATGTTCATTTGTGAACTTCGGGACTTGTGATATTTATTTAAACCTGTATAGAGTTACCCTCGCTGGTTCCTGCTGTTTCCACTCTTTATGCAAAGTTAGGCTGATCACTTCTGGGCTCAAGCTGCCAAATCTAACAAACAGTAGTCTTAGTGTCCTCATCTCAGACTCAAAAAACAAGAACAGCATCCACAACATCAGTGAGATGCTTACTTGATCTGTGAGCTCAATAAACACTTTACTGATGAGTTTATCGCTTCAATTGCTGGTTGAACATCTTGTTAAATGTAATTCCAATTTTCTAAAATATGGTTCAATTTTAGAGGCAGAAAGGAAGAGGTGTCATCTCCCTCATTCAGACTGTCACATTCAGTTTCCTAAAATCAAGACGGTAAAGACCAAAATGCTCAACTTGAGGCTTCAAAACATCATGTGGCATCATGCTGTTACTACTCTTCCATCTTTTAAATACAGTTTATGGTCCAGTAAACCGTAACGGCTCTTCTTCTAACTGCCTCTTCGTTATTCGAGACCAGAGGCATTTCTCTGACACATGTGCTTTTGGTTAATCACAGAAACTGCATTAAACCACGATCCATTTAGATTTTTCTGGTTTTCCACATATAATTAAGCTGCCAGATTTTGTGCGTATACTGGATGGGTTGGACAATCTGCAGCTCTCTCCCATCCTAATATACAGAGGCTCATTGTTTTAAAGGCGAACATGTGCCATGGAAAGTTCTGTGTTGGTTTGGATGCGTTTCAGTGCAGCGGCTCGGTGGAGGAAATGGGATTACATCAAATGTAAGTTTCCTCATTGGTCTCACTTTCCGTTCCCCATCTCAGGAGGGCACCAACGAAGTGGGTGCTGCAGGACCAAGTGGAGATTATGAAATCATGGATGGACGCCGCAATAATCTTGGCAGCGAAATGGCGGGTGGACCTGATCTTATGGGCAACTCTGTGGACGGAGGCAGCTCCGCGGCCCAGCTGCCGCAGAAGAACATCCTGGAGAGAAAAGAGGTCTTGATAGGTAAGATTATCCATCACTAAAGATCATGCAAATGGCTTCCATGTGTGTCGTGTCTGAATTCGAGCCCTTTTCATCCACCTGTCTGTCTCTGAGCATGTCTTCCTAATCACCCCTTAGACTGGCAGAACACATTTCCCAGTTGCCTCCTGTGTTCTTTCCCTGCTTTCAGGAAGCTGCTCTGACAATCTGGCATCACCTCGCATTCACGTAGTGCAGATTCATCACCATAACAGAATGTCCTGCTTAGCCCCGTTTGACCCATTGAGAACAAGAGATCCTCTTCTCGGGTTATCCAACCCCTCCTTTCCCCCCCTATTTTTTCTCATCCTTTTCCCCTTTGGCTAAATCCAGTTCCTTTTCAAGTGCCCCCTATTCCTCATCCCAAAGAGCTGTTGTTGAAAAGAAAGGAGCAGCCAATTTGCCTGACCTGACTGGCTCTCTGTTTCTCCTTCAGCCGTTCTGATTGGTGGACTTCTGGCTGTGGTTTTCGCTGATTTCCTGTTCATCGGTAAAGAGCAGGAGGCAACATATTTTAGACTAGACAGTAGACGTGTATTAGTGTAGTGCAGCTTTTCATTGACAGAGCCCTTTTAGCACCAAAATCTGAAAAAAAGGGTGTTTTAGCTTCCTCCCCCTTTAAGCCAGCTTTCTTCTGATTGGCTGCCACTTGTAAACACAGGTTTGGTTTGGTTTGATGTTATAAAGAGACAGCAGTACAAAAAGCCTGGCTGAAGTCTGAGCGTTTCACTCAAATTGATTATCGGTACGCACACTGGCTTTATTATTATTAAACTTTGGCTATAAGTAATACGAGCATCTACTATTCTAACAACATATACAGTCATGTGAAAAACTAAGAACACTCTCACTGCTTTAATAAGAGTTAAGAAGGTCAATAGCAGCCAGCTGCTCCTAATCAAATGCATAATGCATAAATTGATCATCAGCAAGTGAGAGCATAAGTTTGGGCATTTTCCTGATCTGGAGCATTCAGGTATGCAAGCATACTGCCGTGCAATGCTCAGAGAAACTGCAAAAAAACCCAAAAAACAACCTACGAGCTACATCTCAGACTCTACATGCTTAAGTTAGTGTGTTAAATGTTAAAGTTCATCACAGTACAATTAAATAAAGACTGAAAAAGTGTGGCTTGTTTGGAAAGGTTACACAAGACCTCTGGAAAGCATATATTTGTCTGTATGACAAATTATTCTAGAATCAAATGTGAGAACATTTGTCTAACAGCTAAAGTTCTATTTAACAGGACAACGAACCCAAGCACAAAGCAAGCCTACAACAGAATGGCTCAAAAAGAAAATAATCAAGGTGCTTCAATGGCCGGCATGAAAATGACAGGCATAAACCTGCAAACCTCAATGCACTAAAACAACACTGTAAAGTAGAGTGGACCAAAAATCCTCCACAATGATGTGAGAGACTTATACAATAATACAGGAAACAATTACTTCCACTCATTCCTGCTAAAGGTGAATCTACAATCTACTGAATCATGAGGTATTTTCAGCTTTTCACAGGAAAGCTTCGAGCGGTATGAAAGCATTATTTTTTGCATGACTGTATATGGAAGAAAAAAGGAGAAGGATAAGAACATAATAGGTCCTCTTTACTGCGAACATGCTAAATATATTATTGCTGTCTTGCACATCGGCTGGGTACCACTTGTTATTCAGAACTAAACTCAAACAAAAATTTTTGGAATAAAATTATAATTTCTTTGCTTTCATTAATGCAGCGAGCTCAGTAAAGTTGACACAATTCATCCCGAGGGGAACATCAGTATCCTCGCCAAATTTCAGGCCATTCTGTCCAATTTAATTCTGGATAAAAGCGGTGGACAGATGGGCTGAATGACAATGCCATCCATGGCCCAGCCCCACCAGCATGACTAAAATCCTTGATTTAGTCATTCGTCTTAATGATGACTTGATATTATGAATTCGCGGACAAGTGGTTCATTATGTGCTATCTTGACAGCAACTTGAAATGGTGCAGTGAACATTCCTTAAGTCTGAGTATAAACAAAATCAGAGACGGTGAGATAAAGAGACACGGTGAAACGCACAGACTGTAGTTACGCACTGCATGATTGGGCAAAAGAAGATAAAACCGACTGAAATCTTATAGAAGATTTAATTACGTAAAACGGTGCGACGAGGCAGACGAGGGGAATACGTTTTGCGGTGAAAGTACGCGGTGGAAAAACTGCATTAATTAAATCCCTTCAGCAGAAACGGAGATAAACAAAGTAAACTCTCCCGACGCAAAGAATGGAAACAAAGCGCTTGTTTCCCGCTTTTGGCGTGGATGCCAGTCACTGTAATGAGGGCGTTTTTAACCATTTCGACAAGATAAGCAGAGGAAGCAAAGGACGGTGGGAAACAAAGCAGCTGCTGCTGATTGGCCCCGGCAGCCCCCACAGGGTTAAACTGCTATGTGGCACTGCAGGGCTGCAGTTTTAACACAAAGCGGTTGGCAGCACAGAATGTATTTTGGCACATTCGGGCTCATCCGTCTTCACTTAGCAGGAAGGTGGTAGTGACGCTGTGGTAGATTTGCTAGAAGTGTTTCTAAAGCAGCTCCGTGTTGTTTCATAGTCGGCCGCAGACGTGCCAGCGGCTCTAATGGCATTTTAGTGTTTGTCTCTGCGTGTGTTTGAGTGTTTGTAGCATCTAATCTGCTGCAAATTTGACACGACTAACTCTTGTTTCCATCTCGCTGCAGCGGTGATAGTGGGAGGCGTGGTGGGCGCCCTGTTCGCTGCCTTCCTGGTGATGCTGCTGGTGTACAGGATGAAGAAGAAGGACGAGGGCAGCTACACGCTGGAGGAACCCAAACAGGCCACCGTCACCTACCAGAAACCGGACAAGCAGGAGGAGTTTTATGCATAACACTGACACGCCAGAGAGACACGCCGCACACCGGGAAGGGAGAAAGAGCGAGCAAGAGAAGAGCGAAAGATACTCTATAAGTCCTGCCCTTCCTTCTCCTCCTCCTCCATCCTTCCTACTCCTCTTCTTCTCCCCCCACCCTCCTTATCTGCTCGGGTCTCCTCATCCCTCTCTCCTCCCGTCTCCATACTTGAGAGCGCCTTTCTCTCTGCGGACTTGGAACCTTCTTTTCAAAGAAAACGAGAAAAAAAGAGGACAAAAAAAGGAAAAAAAAAATCCAAATATATTCAGAAAAAAAATAACACGTACACGCGAGATGTTTTTAAAGTAAATGTTGTTATTAATATTCTACAGATTCTCTTGTTCTGTATGTAATGATATGATTATTTTGTAAGAAAACAAACAAAACAAAACACATGCTCTTGCAACCTGTGTTTTCCAGCACACACACACACACACAAAAAGAGCGAGAGAGAGAGAGAGAGAGATCCTCTTCTGTTTTTAACGGAGCAAATCTGAAAAAAAGGCCTGAAAGGGGAGAGGAGAGGGGTGGAGACGGGTGGAGTGAGCCTATGGACAGACTAACTATTAGATCGGGCTCTACTCTGCCTCTCACCACCACCACCCCCACTCTACACATACACTTAAAAAAAAAGAAAAAAAAAGAAAGAAAAACAAACCATACAGAGCGTCTGGTTGGCCGCACAGAGCCCGGGGTCAAAGGTGAGAGGAAAGGTCTCTTTTGTGTGCCTTCCGTCAATCTGGTGCTCAAAGACACACAAACGCACGTCCACAAAGCCACGCATAAACACACGCTAACACACACATACGCGCGCGCACACCCACTCGTATCTGCTCGAAGGTGGCGCTGACCTCTCGCTCTGTGCTCGGCCAACCAGAAAACGGTGCTCAGTGCTCGGCGTGTTTCACAACGTCAAGGAGCCGCTGTGGAGACACCGGCAGGCCCCCCTCCCTCTGCTCCTCTAAGCTGTATAAAGACTAGTTATGGATAGTAATAATAATCAATAATATATCAATGTTCTTGGGCTGGATGGTGAACAATAATAATAATGATGATGATGATGATAATAATGCCGTAATAATAATAATAAACAGGAGGATGTGTATTTAGCAGTTTAAAAAAAGAAAAAAGTTTATATGTAAATATCAGCGTATCCTTTCTGGCGTCACTAACCATCTGCATGACCATGAAGAGTTTTTATCCATCACATCACGTCATCCCTTTAGATGAGCTGTGCTCTTGTCACACACACACGTACGCATGCACACACACACCAAACACACAACAGCTGAAATAAAACTCGCAGCGCACTGAAACACACCGCGCCGACGTTAAGTAGACTGTAAATCATATCACACGAGCGCATATCGAACCCCTCGTCGCCGTCATCGCCATCATCATCGTCGTCATAGTGATAGTCATCACTTGTGATTTCCAGCAAGATCAGGTGGTTTCAATGTTATTGGTTAGTTATCGATCAGTTGCCGGTTGGTTTAGAGTTTGGTCTGTTTGTGTAAAAGCACAACTCCACGTCTGGCCATCATCCGATAAACGCCCTCCACCCCACCCCTCTCACACACACATACACACACAGCCATAAACGCACACACCCTTTTGCATGCCTCACCTTATGATTTTTTTTTTCTTTCTTCCATCATTGTCTCTCTGTTTGGGGATGGGAGGGGCCTCTTGGAAGTGTGAGGGGCTTTAATGAAATTTAAAAAAAAAAAAAGTTGCTCCCACGTGCACTAATTCAGTCATAACATTTGCCGTTAGAGCTTTGGTTATGAGAGGAAAATGAATTAGTGTTTATGAGGTCAACGTTAACCTGCCGTGGGAGCATTTTGGGGGAGGGGAGGGGACAACGTGAGGAGACAGGCGGGCTGTGCTTCTATCTAAGAGATTGTAACAATAAACACACCAGTGCGACTGGGCTAGTAGCTTCTATTATACTCAGTACTGTAGAACAAAAATGCATGGGAGTCAAAACTATACTCGTCTGGGTGTGTGCGGATGGCTCTGTCTGTGTGTGTGTGTGAGTGTGTGTGCATTTTTTTCTGTACAAGTGTGCGTCTTTAAAAGAAGAGAGGGGCGAGTTAAAGCTGGAATGTACTGTGGTCGAGTGTTTGTTTACCTACTCCAGCAGTTCTCACGCTCTTCCACATGCAGGTAACACAACTCTTCCACTCCTGTGTGTGTAGTTACCTGGGCCCCCTCCTTCCATCCCTCCCTCCCTCCCTCCTTCCCGTCGCCAGTCCAAGAATACCTGTGCGCGCCTGTGTCTGCACCTCATCTAAACCTGCTACCTGTGTGTTTGCGTATGCATGAGTGCTTCACCTTGATATTTCACAGCAGACTCTTGTGTACACTGACTAGCCTGTCGACGCGAGTGTGTGTGTGTGCGTGTGTTTCTGCGTGCGTGAGGGTGTGTTTAGTCTGTTCACTGCTGAATGTGGGGCGGCTCGTCCCTCACAGTGGCTATCACACACACTGACCGTGTCTTTTCACTGTCTGTCTGACTTGTCTACCTGTCTGTCTGCCGCAGGACAGATGGACAGACAACACGCCACTTTCTCACAGGCAGGAATGATATAAACACGTACTGTCTTTTCTAAAAGTGACTGTCAAAGTGTAAACGTGTGCGTTTGTAGCCATTTAAGCCTGCGTAGCCAAATAAGACGTGTGTGCGTGTCTGAGAGAAAGAGGGTAAATTTGTATGTGTGTGTGTGAGTGTTAGTGTGCATGTTTGAGAGTGTGCGTGTGAGTGTGTGTTTGTGTGTGTGTGAAGCCCAGTGGAGGCTACACTACTCTATGTTTGCTGTTCCCATTCCTGTTTTTATACATTTGCATTTTTTAAGGCTGAGTTTCTGTCATTGGCTGAGTG